ACTGATTAACACAGGCCAGGTACAGATGTTCAGAAAACCCAAGGAGGAATTGATCTAGCCTACACAGGTTTCTGTAAGTGGCTTGGGTTAGACCGGTAGCAAACAAAACACGTGTTCACCCTTTGGTAGAGGGGCATGCAGACTTCCTGCAGTGGCTCAGGCCAGCAGGTTGGGGGCATGCCTTCATGCCTCCCAGCAGGCCCTGAGGGCTCCCCAGGCTGCCAGAAACTACTTAGCACAGCTAAGCATATGGGCCACCCCTCATTGGCTGTTGGGCACAGGCAAGCATGCCTCCAACCCCTGTAGCTCTAAGCCCAAAAAGCCTTGCAGCACCCCAGGTACCCATCGGTAGTGGCTGAGCTGCAGGTCATAGGGTTGCCTCCATGCAGGCACAGTCCCCATGTTCTGCCCCCTGCCACCACAGCCCACCAGAAGTGAGCTACACATGCCAGCTTCTCCTCAGGTGGTTGTGGGGGTGGAGCTGCATGCTGAAGTCTGGGTGGCAGAGTGCCTGGCTCTGGTTACTGAGATGGCATGCAGGAGCCAGGATTGGGTTCCACAAGACTATACCTGAGCATGGGGACATGAGGTTCTCCAATTTGTGTGCAGCCAGGGTCAGGCTGTATGGAGCTGTGCCCAAGTATGGGAGTTCTCCTTCATGTCAAATGCGTGCACAGCATGGAGAGCTTTGTGATGGGGTGCAGGGGCACACAATGTGGGGACATGGGTGCCTAGTCCCTGGGCTCATGTGAGGACTCAGCCTCCCTTTGCCCCCTCAACCCACCTGCCTCTAGCTGACAGATGGCCAGAGGCAGGAGGCAGGGCTTTGGAGAGGCTCTGGGCTGGCTGCGCTCTGGGAGAGCTCAGGGGCAGGACCCACTGGAGACTTGGCTGGAGCAGCTGAGCATGGGTAAAGTGCTAGTTCCCTTCCCTGCAAGGGAAGGGTTGCAAAGGAGGCTTGAACACCAGAGGACAATGATCTAACTTGAAATCAAAAGGGGACTTGGTACAGAAGTTTGATTCACCGATTTAACCTAAATAAATTAGAATTCAATGCACATTGAACCAGGACCATCTTAGACCAGGTTTTGACATTTTTAGACCAGTCTACATGTGCCAAACTTCTGTATGCTTACAGGTTTAGATCAATTTCCAATCACGTAGACCAGTTTGTGTGTAATGTCTGTACCTGGCCACAGCTGCTCCACCTTACAGAAGTATTTCTAAGTCAAAATGTAGTTTGCTGCCTGTACTGTGAGTGTATCTGCTGTAATGATTAAAGTTTTATCTAAAATCACTTAAAAATGTTTCTGTAGATAGGAATGGTCAGAACATGATCTTCTGAAGAACTAAAAATGTCACGCTTAAATAATTCAGCATAAATTAAAAGTATTTTACTACATATAAGCCTGAGGGCACACAACCAAAATCAAATAAGTAATATCTAAATTACAATGTTGTTGTGGTGGTTTTGTGGGTAGGGAGTGGGGGGGAAGAAAGCGAAGGTTTTAAAGATCTGTTGTCAGCTGTTATGTTGCAGTATTGCTGGAGACATCTAAGCAAAACCAAAACTTCCTTTGAATGTGATCCAACAGTGCTTACAGGCATATTAAAGGCACTGCTAACATTTAAAATTATTGCCATGACTCAAGTTCTTTCAGTCTGATAAGTATTAAAATTCAATGTAATATATGCATATAAATTTATTACAACCACATCTTATACTCCCATTATCAGAAATTGTCTTTTGACAAAATTGTCTTAAACTCATCGTCGGTAGTGTCCTAGCTAGTCAGAAGTTTGCCAGTTAACAACTAACAGGAACAGTCTGTTAGAAAAAGGTATGAATGGTCACTCTGCAACATTAGGCAAAAATTTCAAGACATTACACAGTAGTACTTAAAGCTTAGTCTTGAAGCACAGGTTGCTGAATACATGACAGACTGCAGGCACTATAATTAGAGTGGCTCCCAAGAGCTACTGTAATTAAAAAGTGTCCCCATCCCCACCCTATAGTATATATAAAGATGCCCTTTGTGTCAACAATTTAAGAAGTTTGGTCAATGTTTATTAAGAGTCAGTCCCAATGTCATTTGAAAGAAGTCAGTCGTTTACCATCTGTCCAAAGAACTTTGTACCACAAGTTTAGGTCCCCTATAGTATTCTCAATCCTCAAAAATATACTATTATATATACACTATACTAGTAAATATACACTATTCTATATAGATATTTTACATATGCGCCTACACACATGCAGAGATAAACCAACTAACAGCTCAAATGCAAAAGTAACATTCATCAGGGCATTTTTACATGTGCTGCAAGACAGGGCACAGGTGCTTTAATTAATGAGCTGGGTTAATTAAAACTGCCCATGCATCATGTGCATCCCCACACTAAAAAGATGACAGCAGGGTGCTTTGAACTAAAGCTCAAATGTGTTTTATTTCAAAGCACCCCATCACCATTTTTTCACTGCAGAGACACGTGGTGATGCTGATACATGTGATGCAGAAGGCTGCCAGAACATGTCAATTTCCATGCTCAGTTAATCAAATCTGCTCCAATGCACTGGATTTCCAGCGCGTCAGAACAGGCTCTGCAAACGTGTATAAGACCCCCCTGTGTAAAGCCCTTTTGTGTTATTTTACCAGTAGATTAATCCTCCTAATTCCCAAATAGGCAACAATGAATCAGCATTTAACCAACAGGGTTACAAGCACCATCTTATACATCACTTTTTGCAATAGTTGTAGCTGTTAGCCGTTAAAGATAAGCCTAAACCAGAAAGTCAGGTGCAAACAGTCCTTAACCCTGAAGTAGTTCAGATTCTAATCAGGTCTGAACTTTGCTGTTTGGGCTGATTTCTTGGGGCAACCTTTCACAATAAATTGTTCAGTTTGCAGTGCAGAAAGCAGCCTGAAGCACACTCTGGGAGACCAATACGTTATTCGAAGCTCTCAGTTTGCAGATTCTCCTGAAAATTCTACACTGCACTGCCTGCTGCAACCAAGTGAAGCAGCAGCTTAAAACATGAGCAAACAGAACAAGGAGCAGTGAAAGAGTGCAGCACATTGAAGTCTCCAGTTTTTTGTACGTTCAATTTTAGCCCTTACCTAATTTACTTTTTTAAACCTGAACTAGCACCATATGCAAAAGACTATACATGCCAGGAAGCACATACAGCATGCATCTTCCCCTTCTATGTAATGAGCTTCTTCAACTGAAAGCAGGGGAAAAAACAACCACTTTATGGTTTTATATGCCTATAAGAGGGAAGAAGCGTATAAGGAGAATATACTGCACTTGGCAATACAGTTAACTGTATGAAAGAGAGAAGGATGGGAACTTCTACAGAAGACCGTGAGACAAGGATGTCATGACATGACATTCAAAACGTTTTAAGAATCCAAGCCAGAGAGATGAGGGTCAGGGTAGGTGGAAGAGGGCAAAAAACTCTCAGAAAGTGCAGGAGTAAGCCTGGGCCAGTTTAAAACACACACACACAAAAACCCAACAACACACTCTTAATAACTGAGTTGTTTAAAAGTGAAATAAGGAATCTGACTGAAGTCTATTCAGAGTCTACCAGCAAAGCATTTGTTACTTGAAATTAAAAAAGGTACTTTGCAAGGCAAAGACAGATAATACCAGCAGAAGTGGAGTTCTCTGAAGAGTGACTGCTGAATTGCTACCTTCTCACGGAGATAAGCTTTCCAAGCCATTAGAGACAACATTTATTACATTCAGCATAATTATGAGATTACATAATGCAGACACATTAGAAGCCAAAGCTACCATTGATCACTTCTTGAAACACTGCCTTATAGTTACTAAGGAGCCCTATGTCAAAGGACATAAAAGGCCATGCCATATTATGACAACCAAAAGAAAAAAGCTCCCATCACCCAAATGAAGTTCACTAATGCAACTTGCTCCCAGCCCTCCACAATACAAGGCCAAGTTACTCATGTTGTCGAGTATTCATTCTCCGTGAGCCCAATCCTAAGATTCAAACAATATAAATCAGTTATCTAATATATAAACAGAACTGAAAAGGATTTGCCCCAGAACAAGTGAAAAAATGTTTGACAATACTGACACCTAGTGGCAGAATTTAAAGCAACTGAAGTAAAATAAAGCCATGATCTTTATGCTGCTTTTTTTTTTTTTTTTTTTTTTAAGTTTATCACTTTAAGTGATCTTTAAGACTAGGGAGCCCATTCTGAAAATGGGCCAACATTGATGTTTCTAAGCAAGTTATAAAAAGGTCACAGAAAATAGCTTCCTAAGAAAATTATCTTAACAAGCATGTTTGACTTTGAACCTGTAACCACACATAGTATTATTAAATATTGGAATAGTCCAATTTAAGTCCTTTGAAGACAAATCTAGTAAGCTTTTAAAAAAAATGGAATTTTGAATTTAAAATGTGTTTACTATTTATACGCACCTGTCAAGTACACCAAATGCTTGATCCCCTTAACTTCTCTGGGTACAAGTCAGGATAGTCATAATACAAAATGTTAATATCCCATATACCCTACTCAGCTTTTTCAAGTGCTGCCAAACTACAGATTCTCAGTTAGCATAAAACACCCTTTTTCACGTGGGCAGATGGAAGATAAGAATAACTGCAGCAGCTCAGAGACATTCTACAGAACCATGCCTTTTCTGTAGTTCCCCTTTAAGAACCTTATTTTGATGAGTAGTCAGAGTGGCTTTGTCAGACAATTTTGGAGAATAACCTACATGTTTTGTTGAGCCTGAGTTATAGATAAACCCTACTTTTTTCCCCATACCCTTTTGTAAGTGGATAAAATGTATACTGACATCTAACACTATGAAATACAAGTTCATTTGCATTTAACAATGTAAAATCAGTTTGGGTTGATATCACATGATCTGTTGCCAACTGACAAAAAGTGTCACTTAACTAGATCTCCAATCTCTAACCAGAGATTCTGTCCCCTCCCACTTCACCGTTGTGTTCTTACCTGTTGACGTTTGTAAGCCAAATAATCTAGATTTTCCAGATCTTTCCCCAGCTTTTGGTAGGTTTTCTGTAGTTCAGATTTGCTGGACACATTTCTTAGAGACTCAAATGTTCTTTGAAACTGTGACAGTAGAGAAACAGATGTTATCATTCATGGAGATGTTATCTTAATAGCTCTGTTACCTAGGGATAATTTTAAACATTAACAAGGACTCTGTTATATGTCATTTCTTCACGAATGCATTGCTACAACTCTTGAAACCTCCATTCTGCTTTGAAATTTTGGATGTCATGAGATAGAGGTGCTCTTTGTTTACAGATGTAGAGCTTTAGATGTACCATATTTGCTCAAATTCAAAACAAATTTGAATTTAAGATGACCTTCCAGTAACTACAATATTTATTTAAATATAAGATGACACCACCAATAATTTAATTCCGTATACGGAAAATCTTTAAATTTGTTATAGTTTTCCAAGTATAGAATCTAATTATTGGAGGTTTGCCTTGAATTTGTCCCCCTCCTGCTACTACAGAAGGGAAAATAAATGGGGGAG